TTAAATCCAGCTGGACTCAGTAAGAACTTCAGAATGTCTTTCCTATCTTAAAAACAATCCCAATACACAAATAAGCAAATACACTCCCCACATAGAGCCTCATCCTCCAGATGTTTTCATATATGCATAACTCCACTAAAAGTAGCTCACTTGAAGCAGAAAAAATTACTGACTGTAGCAAAACTAAGCAGAATTGAAAAAGTATGTAGGATGAATATCTCTGGACAGGTGAACAGGAAATAAAAGAGGACGACTCTGTAATCCAAAAAGTAGCACAGAATAGCAGCCTGTGGGCATTGCCCATGCATTTAGTACTGAGATTACACTTCCAATTATGATGAGATATAATGAAAACGAGTGTACTAACAAAAGATACATGTTTTTATAATCCATCTACACATTTCTATGACATTATCAGTGGTCTACAGAGCCTCTGCATTAAGCCAAAGAAGGAAAACAAATAGGAATTGTAAGAACAATTGAGTATCATAAACACATTTGTGGTGTGGAACTCCTATTTTCTAAAAGGTACTCAAAAGTATTTCCTTTATTTTATTATAACTATTATATCAGGTGAAACTAGTGCAGCTACAAATGTATCTGTATATCACAATTTGTTAGCTTTATACAAAAAAAAGCACTGATTTAAAGCTGCAAGTTCTCTACTTCAAGACTCCACTTTATAATTTGATAGAGAAACCACATGCCGAAACACTTTTCCAAATTCAAACAGTAACCACAATTTTCTAAACTACAACTGTTTGTTACCTTAATACTATTTACTACACGGAAAACCCTACTCTTTCCTTTTTCTACAAAGTGGGGATATAAAGCAGTAACAGTTAAAAAATACTGGGGCTATGACTACTGTCTTATAATCCTGTAAAAACACAGAAGGAAGACTTGACTGTGAACATACTTCTTCCAGCTTCTGTCAAGAAAGGTTCTAGTATGTGCTACCTTTGATTATCATCTTCTGATTTTATTTAGAGTTCTATAAAGCAGCTAAACATAAAGAAGCTCTTTTTCATTTCTGATGGAGTTTAGTCTACGAAACATGTACATACACAATATAGCACCACAATACACCAAGTTATTAAAAAAGTATCCAAAACAGTCTATATTTATTGCTAGTGAAAAATCCAGAAAATTATTTCATGTTATTAAATGTTGCAGTATGTCTAAAGTAAATGAGACATACCACTTTTAAAAAAAAGTTTATTTAATCTTTGGGGTTGTAAGGAAAACTACCATACCTGTAAAAATCAAAAAATTAATAGGTTTTACAATGCCTAAATGAAGCCCTTTGACTTCACTGCAGTCTTCCAAGCACAGCACAAGGCACATTTAGAGTAAGACTCATCACCTGAGTGATAAGGGCTAAATTTGAATATTAATGAGAAATTAGTAATTGTTTAAAAAAAGGTTTGTTAAAGGTAACTCACCACCATCCCTCTCTCTAACTCTGTGTGTATGCACACTTTTTGCCTTACTGTGCCCTGTGTTGTCACCATATTTGTTTTCAGGGCTGTCAGAGCGTCGCAGCATTTTATTTGGCGGTGAAGGATCTGTGGTGTCTCGCATCTTGTCATGACGGTGATCACCACCACTGGGGTGACTCTTGGATGAGTACTTAAGAGCCTGCAACAAATCACAAGAAAACAGACATTTACATTAGATATGAAGTTTCTGGACTGATGTTAAAATGTTATTTCTAAATTTTACATCTCTTTCAAAAACTTTTAAAAGTTAATTAATTTTCATCTCCTATTTAAAAAAAAAAAAATCAGCATCAGTCTTTCTAATTTTAATTACCTACAATAAAGCAACAAGTTCTGTAATTAGAACTCAAACCATTTTCTCCCACTATCATATCCAACATAACACTTGCTGTTACAAAAAACCTAGTTTCTCTGTCTTTTCACTGACGGACTACACACTTTCAACAGTACACAGTTCTTCTGCACTTTTGGGAGAAGCACAAGTCTCCACTTCATATTAAGCATACAAACTGGAAGTTACACTGAATCAGGGTAAACTTTGAGTATGTTCTCCATACTCTTGTCAAGATCATTTTACCTTGAACTTCTGTGACCTTTTTTCAATACTTTCAACACTCTCAACATATGTAATTAAAAAAAAAATAATTCTGGAGGGCCAAAACATGCAATGTTTTTAAGTATTTACCAAAAATTACATGTTCTGCTTCACTTAGACCTGCTTGATTTTGCAGTGTGAGCTCCTGAATGGCCAAGTGTTTACATTTACATGAGCTGTCGCTGACAGCTGCCTTGGACTGCTATATTGCACTTCACAGCCATACAAAACCACAGAAATACAATGAAACAGGTCAATTCTGGGCCTAAGGAGAGAAGTATCACAACATACAGCTCTCCACAGACTCACACACCTACAACTGTCTTTTCAGTGGACACAGCAAAAAAATAAGAGTATCCACCATACAGAAATTGAGGTTATTGTCAGAAGCCCGAGAATTTTATGGCTTCTGAACATGCCCAGCAGCTGGCAACTGCAGAAATTAAGCCTTACTGGCAACCCCAAGTTGTTCAGGGTCTAAACCCATGCCCTGCTCAGGTTACAGCCCACAGCAGCAGTTTTAGGGAGAAGAAAGGACTTTGGGC